TCCCAGGGATGGACGTCTGTGGCTTCAGCAGGCGTAGAGCTAACAGAACTGTCAGCATTGCAGGCTGTAAGCCCTCTAAACCAAAGAAGCTTCTGCCGCCCTGGCGTCCTCTCCCACGACAACTCTGTCCCCAATTTCCTCCCCTAAATAAGAAATGTATGATGGAGGAGACTCGTCGATGACCTCTGAAACAAAACTCTCCTCCTCTTGCATGCTTCCGCTGTCCATAGCCTTCTTTGACAGTGTCGTTGCTAAGTCCCCCATTTAGTGCTACTTGGTCCAAATGTAATTTCCCATTGGGAACCTACTAGCACTAAGTTTCTAACTGGTTAGTAGAATGCTTCAGACAAACCGGCCACAACCAAAATTGCTTGTGAACAACAATCCCGCCCCCTTGATAAACGACCAATCACATTCACTTTATTCACTTGTGTAAAGTCGGGCACCACTCGGGAGAATTTGGAAATGCAACGGTTGGGGCAGCCATTTCCCTACGACTTTAAGCACACATTAAAACAGAACTGTATTGTGAAGTTTGGTGTCCATTCTTTGCCTACTTTGTGTGTCAACTGTCACAGTTACTAGGCTACAGAACTTACGGCCGCTGAGATCCGGAGACGGCTGGACCTGTTTGAATCCATCGCCAAAACTCTTTAGGCCTCCTTATTGTCATGGACCTCCAAGGATCCAGTCCAGGTAGACCTTGTCCTTGAAGGATGCAGCCTCTAAAAATCGAACATACCCATTGTTTTTTTAAGCAACAATACAGCTTTTGTCCACTCAGAAGAGCTAAAACCCACTAAGGCCTCTGACCTACTAAAACTAAAAGTTGTATAGAATTGCTTTAACATCCACAGAAACAGTGCATGAATTTCTGACTCAAAGTACATTCAGCGAAAATAGGCTTTTTGTGGATTTTAATACATAACTGAATAAAATGTTTTCATCAAATTAATTTTCTGGATTGTTTTTCACTAAATTTCTTTCTCTGGATAAATTTTTGATTATGTGGTAGTTAATGGTAAGAAAAGAATTATTTGCTAATCTCACCTTGTCATGTACGATCACTTCAAAAGTAGGAAGAGAGTAAGCCTATGCACAGATCAGATATGGCACAAGGCTGGATAATGAGCAAGATATCAAGAGGTATCCCACTTTGGGGGCTTACCTTCTCTTAACCACATCCTACAGCACTGGTGAACACTTCAACAATTGTCATTTGTTTTTCATGGTTGTTTGTCCATGCTTTTGGAGCTAATAAGATCATTTAGTGTACTTTCCACAACAAATATGACTTACAAATTGATAAGAAGAGGTTTATACTTTCACCTTTTTAAACCATTTTTATTAAAATTACAATACAAATTCTATTTACTAAACTGCTTGTAAAACAATCAAAATTGAAAAACACAACCTGTGTAAAATTTATTTCCACAGGGGTTGCAGGTTAGCAGGAGGAACTACAACCTACCCTAATCTGTAAGCCATAATATCCAAATTACAAGAAATAATGGCTATATATTATTTATTCATTTATATTTATTCATTTATTTATTCATATATATATATATATATATATATATATATATATATATATGTAGACGCACTGTACATACTGTATATATCCCACAAGCACCTTTTCTTTCTCACTATTTAGCCAATGTGACAAGTGAATTTCACCAGTTTGAGATCAATAAAGTCAATCAATCAATCAATCAGTGTCTAATGACTCGGTATGAATTTCCCTTTTTGACTCAGATGACAAAAATATTGTACTTTTTTTAACGATTCTTTGTAAGTAATTTCAGGAAGAAATGTGAACTTGGAGAAGAATGTTAAAATCTGGGTATATTACAAGAAAAAAACCATTCAATATACATTGGATCTCAAGCCTTTAAATATCATTTGTAACATTACAAGACTTAGGAAAATTGACACCATAGTAAAATATTACACATTGAATGTTGCATATATCTTTTTCCTATCAATTTAAGAATAAATGTGTTTGGAGGAAAAATAAAATGCATTTGATTACCTGACTGCATGACTGTGCACACCCCGAAACTTATGCCCCTGTCACACCCTGACCATTGATATCAGTGTATGCCTGACGTATGAAAAATTTGACAAAAATGCTGGCATACAGTGGATAAGGTATGGGTACGTTTTGTATAATTTATGAGAAAGCTGTAGCACGCTGAAACATGCTGGCACAGGTTGACATACATGGCGAGTAAAAATTTCTCAATGTATGCCAGCATATGCTATTCTAGGGGCATAGGTTACAGGTAAGTTATCTGATTGTTGACATACGTTAAGTTACTCATAAGTCGTGGAGTCTAGCTTATCCAAAACCTATGAGTAAATTGTGCATAACTTAATGTATGCGTAACTTATCAAGAACTTATCTCCAATGCATATCAACGTATTTGACGTGTTCCAGGCGACAGCTGAACGCGTTTCTAACTTATAGCTACTGTATAATGGCGTATTGGCAGTGTGTTGGTATAAAAGGGGGTTTAAAGGAGGAAACCGTCCTACCTGTGTTCACGACCACGACCAACAAACTTCCAAGCAGGCATGATGCTGAATCTACTGCGAGTGCAAACCATCTTTCTCTTTCTTTTTTTTTTTTTTTTTGGTGGGGGTAAACAGCAGCTAGGTTAATACCGTGATAAATGTTTTTAAGCAGGCTTGGTGCCTCCGGCGCATTGCTGCACCATACAGAACACTGGCTTTTGACATTTCATGGGCATTACGCTGCATCATGCAAAAGTTAGGCTGTCGTTAGACAAAAGTTCTGGACTCGTTATGAATATGTTAAGTATATGCCCAAAATTGAAGAAAAAATAATGCATAGAAAGTTCAGCATATGCCTGCGTTTTAGGAAATTCTGAGATGACAGGCATACGTTGTTTCAATCTGCAAGGTGTGACAGTGCCATAAGAACCTTTAACTGAAGCACCTGTAAACTCTTTTTCTTATGAGTAATGTATGGCAGCATTTAAATAAAACCTATTACATGGGTCTGGACTTAAAAAAAAAAAAAATTTTGTGGAACATAAACTACTTTTTTGTATTTGATGTGTAACTGTTAAACCTCTGCTGTGTTACCACTAGGTATGTTACTTTACTGTGATGCAGTCTTCTTTCTTGTTTTTTTTACTGTTTTCTGTCTTGAAAGGGTAAGTAAATTATTTGATAAATTGATTAGAAAGCAGTGTATAGTTAGTTTCCTTTTGGTTACTAAATAATGCTTCAAAATATGTCTTTTTCTGTATGTTTACCCATCCACTTTAAATTAACCCGTTTGAAATTGATGCAAAAGGATGATATATAGGCTTTGAATTCAAGTTGACACAAAATCTTTTTTACCACTTTGTTAATGCGCAAAATATATAATTACAAATCAAATGGCTGTTAAAAAACTGAAACAGCAAAAAAGGCAGCACACAGTAATCTTGAACATATCCATTTAAAAGCTTTGCCAGATGAACAGGACATTTTAAAATTTGGATTCCCTTTATTAGCATTTAAATAAAGTGTTTAGAATAAAGTGTTCTGAAACCTCCACGAGTCCAGAGTTTTGGTTCCAGCTAATATTACCATGGCGGATGCTAGGGAGGCTTTGACTACATCAGAGAACACTTAAAACATGCTCAGCCACATTTCAAGACCCCCCTTCCTCCTCTCTCTTCCTCCTCCTCCTTCACCACCACCTCCTCCTCTCACTGCGTCCCCTTCCATCCCCCCATGTTGCCTCAGGAAGAAAACTGGGCAACATCTGGCTAAGTTTATGAGCGAGAGGGAGAGAGAATTGGTAGACCATGAAAACTAGGATTTTTTTTTCAGCCTGTGCAGCAAGCCATTCTTGGAGCTGCCATTAGAGGCGATGATATTTTAATCTTGTGAAAATGCTCAACATAGCAATGAAATTTACCAACAAGGCCTCTGATGTCATTCTGATAAAAACACATGTTGCCGCTTAAGTGAAAAGTTCTATTTGAACAACATGAACAAATCAAAAGCTGCCAAAGTGGAATGAGCAAAGGGTGAACATTGTTACCCCCAGACATTCACATTCATTAAAACTAAATGAGTAGGACCAAACTAAACACACACCCACACACCTACACATGTTGTACAGCGACTGTACATATTTAATCATTTACACAGTGGTAAGTTTCTGAGTCAACAATACAGCAACTATTGTCACCTCAAATCAACATTAGTATAGTGAAACTGCAGTTCTTTAAATTGGAAGTCACTTCAGTGTTAGATAACTTACAGATATTTACAAGATCAATAAATAGATAATTAAATACATCATTCTTCTTAAGACACAAAGCTGATGTAAAAAGAAAAAGAGTGGCACTCAGATTATTTAACTACTGAAAATCAAACAAAACACAACATTACACAGGAGAAATGTAAAACACTGCACTTTCCTCAATAGTGAACTGTCCTTACTTTGAATGTAAGTTGGTTAAATTTTTCTTTGTGGTAATGTCAAGAATCACCTTTTTGCAGTGCATTATAAAATAATTTATATCTCTTGAACATGTTCATCATGTTACAAGGAAACATTTCAAAATATTTCCATTTGGATCCTTTTATGAACACATATGCAGTGCTGTTTGCCACATGCTATAGCAGCGGTCCCCAACCTTTTTTCCACCATGGACCGCTATATGTCAGACAATATTTTAACGGACCGGCCGAGGGGGGCTAAATACGATCAAGTAAAATGATACGACTGGCATAAAATCAAATGCAAACAGCATAAAAATAAAACAACAAGCTTTCTGTAGCTTTGTTTTGGTCGCTGTAACCGCAGAAAAAAAAACGTTTCAAAAAAGATAGGACGTTATAGATAGGATGAGTGTCAAGAGGCACAGATGCACCGACTGATGTAATTGGGAGAGAATATCTCAATTTTTTATATTTTTCAAAATAAAACATCACTCAGACTCTGATCGTCGATAAATGTTTATATATATATATATATATATATATGCTTTTTTCTGTGCGGCCCGGTACCAAAAGACTGACGGACCGGTACCAGTCGCGGCCCGGTGGTTGGGGACCGCTGTGCTATAGGACAGCGAGTAGGAGAACTTTGTAACCTACGTAGCATTAAGTGGCCGAACACTGACACTGCATATCACACTGAACACACTTCCTGTTTGGTGAATCATCAGGATAGCAGCATATGAATAAGCTGTGATGACACAAGGGTGAATCTAAAAACTTGCAGGATACCCCTGATTTAGATCAAATAACTTTTAGAATGGCCCACTGAAAGCCAAGACCTAAATCCAGTTGGTTATCCATGGCTAAAACAATATTATCTCATATGTTCCATCTGATCTAACTGATGTTTAACTATTATTTGAAGAAAAATAGCTGGAGCTTGTAGAGAAATAACCTCAAAAGTGTTTTCAACTTTAAACACAGAAGAAAAAATATACTTTTAAGAAAACCTCAGAGATATGCACTCCATAAAAAAAGCATTTTAGTTTTTGGTTCTGATGTGACTAAATTGTTAAAAGTTCCATGGGGTATGACTAACAGGTAAAAGATAGTTCCCCAATTTAAATTTTAAATTGTTCAGCGAATAAAATCTTGGATGATAGTTGAATCTGTTGCAGTCCCATCTCATTAATCCATCCCAGTAGACTGGATCAGTTCCTTTGGCACTGTACATAGAGGATTTTGAGGTCCATGTTGTAATATTTACAAAAGTCCTATATTTATCTGCCCAAGTAAATACCTTCCTGGCAAAGTAAACCTGGGCAGGTATGGGTTTGGGGGTTGTTCTTTTCGCTCAGCTTTTCCTTGCAGTCATCAGCAATGTTGTGACTCTTTGTTAATGTGAAGTCAGGCCTCTGTAGCACCACGGCACAGCAAAACGATTCCAGCTTCCAGTCTATTGAAAACAGCCCAGGAATTGAAGGCAGGAACAAGCTTGCCAAAACTGAATTGCAGTAAAGGAGATTTATCCACAAGGAACTCGGCTCCCCAGCCATCCATTGTGTTTGTCCATGAATGCGACTTTTATCAGTGACATTGATATTTAAAACCATTTAAAAGCCAAATTTGTTGCACTTTCATATTTAAGTATTAGGGGCTGAAAACAAGGATGAATCCTCTGGTCCTGGGAGCTGAAGCGACCCATTCCTGAGGTTTCAACAGCTCTGAAAAAAGAATTGAGGAAAAAAAGCAATTAGTAAGAGGTGGAATACAAAAAAATCTCAACAAACAAATCAGTTTCATCACTGAGTTACTTCACTTGGTTTGAATAAACAGACCAATATGTCCATTTTGGTGTGGACAACCTTCGTTTTCCCATTGGAACTCCTTAAGAATTCTCAAAATGCATTTGGTAACCGTGCAAACATTAAATGCTCATTAATAAAGAAGAGGGAAAAGAGACTATTGGAATGTGTCTGTTATTCAGGCTGCACAGCAGTCAGCAACAAGTCACCTCTTTCCTGAGGGCTATGAAACAATGATGTATGTATAGTTTGCTAGGGGCGCCTCATTGGCTGAGCAAACAGGCCCCAAAATAACTACCAATCAACGAAGATGCTATCATCACTCACTCACTGTGGGTATTGTGAAAGATTTAAAGTACACTTTGTTTGCCAAGAGCCAGAATTTTGTACATATAAAATTATAGAACAAGCATATAGATACAGAAATGTGTAAAACAACATTGATTAGAAGTCTATTGTATTCTGTGCATATAGAGGAATTTCAGATCATAAGGAATGTGTCCAATCTCTTCCTGCCTTTCGCTGATTGGCTGCTACGCAAAGAGGGATCATCCATTACATGCAGAGGTAAATAAACAGTTGTAGCAATTAAAGTTCCATCATTTGTTATGCATTGTATGATGTTCATGTGTGTGCATACACACACATGCATCTCCCCATTCATATGTCTTACTAGCTATGCTTGGGTGTGTGTGCAAGTGAATTTGCGTATGTATAGTGTTGAACTTTCTCAGGTTTCGCCGTCAACTGCACTTAAATCAATGATTTGGGGGCCCAAGAATCAACAAATGTGACCCCTGGCAGACCATAATATGGACCCAACCTGCCCGTGGATGTGTTTGAAGGCCGCTTCTCTTTCTTCTCTGTCAGCACCTCACTACCTCCGCACAACAGATGCATTCACTACACAAACACACATGTAACGCCTGCATTCGTGTTGTTTATGAGGAAGTGTGTTGCCATGTGGTCATGGGCATGTGTACGCTTAGCAGCCTCTGATTATTTTACATGTCAGCATGTTGTGACAGAGTGTTAAAATCATATGAAATTTTAGGTTTTCAGAGGTTAGGTGTGACATTTTTGGGCTTGATATGGAGAGACACGTGTTAAAGCAAAGCACTTTATATTAGCTGGGAAAGCTGAAAGCACATGGAAAATTTAGTCTGCCTAGATGACTGAGCGAGTGCTTAAGGCCTCTGTAGCATAAAGGTCTCACTCCACAATTTTCTGGATCATTGGCTGGGAAAGAGTAAGAAAGTCGGCTAAATGATCTGAGGAACATGACTTCTGTGGTGATTTGACATATTGTATGTTTAAAACAACTTGGATTAAACTAAGTATGACAACTTTTAAAATAGCTGCATAAAGGTGTACTGAGGTTTTATAAAGTTACTATAATAGTTTTCTGCCATTCGTTCCAAAATGTTTAAGTCCTTCTAAGAAGTTGGCAGATAAAATTACCAGGATTTTCTCTGGGTTGTTAAGCATGGAGTAATGAGCCACTGTTGAGCTGACTGCCAGCAGGCTAAAACATTTTAATAGAAATCTGTCTGTATTTCCTGACGTGACACTAAAGGCCAATCGATGAATGCTCAGATTACATTATTTGACAAATAAGATTCAAATTTTTTTTAGTTGCAGCTAGCCTGATAAATGCCTCTCTGTGAGAAGTGGAACCAAGTGGGTCATGGAGTACATTTTTGTCACAGTATGGCAAAATACAATTTCTCTCTCTACCCCCAACTCCAATCAGCAATTCATATCTCCTCCTCCCCATGTAACCCTCCTCTTCCCCCCTTCCTCTCCACTCTCAGGATGCTTAATGGTGGGATCACAAAAGGTGAACACCTTCTCATATTAATAACTGTTAATATTGTGCTTAGGGATGATGAACAGAGGTTAGTAATAACTTGTTGCATTTACTAAAGTAATGTTTTGACAAAAATACACTATTAAGACTTTTTTTCTGCACCATACTGTACTTTTTTGCTTATACTTAAGTATTATCGTTATCAAAACATTGTTACTTTTACTTAAGTAACATTTGTCTTGACTATCCACTGTGAGTCACTTTACTTAATAAGCTGGTTTTCAATTCAATTTATTTATATAGTGCCAATTTACAACATGTTATCTCAAGGCACTTTGCAATTCAACCAGATCATACAGTCAAATTGATTCAAAATTTTCTATCTAAGGAAAACCAGTTGATGGCATCGACTCATTGACTTGAATGCAATCCTTCACACTAAGCATGCTTGTAGCGACAGTAGAGAGAAAAAAATTCCGCTTGACCAGGAAGAAACCTCCACCAGAACCAGACTTGGTGTGAGCGGCCATCTGCCGAGGCTGACTGGGTTTTAAACAAAGTTGCTCCGGACAAAGACACCCAAACTGTGTTTCCATTAACCATTGAAATGTGCAAACTGTACTGTTAAATAGAATGCTAAATGGAAAAACAGAAATTTTGAAAAAAACAAATATTTTTCTACAAAGAGTGTTTACAATTCCATCCGATGGTTTTTCGGTCCCATCAAACTTACTATATTTTACAAAACTGCAGTGGAAACCCTTTTTGATCTATAACAGGACCCTACTGCCCTGTGAAAAGACGAAGGAGAAGATAATTGGTGAATTTTCATGTTGCATATTTAGATTCATGAGGAGACTGAGCATTTTGTACATTTAGTCAGCCACAATGAGCATTAAAGCTTTTTCTGAACTATGAATATATCTCAAGTTTTCCTATCTGCCCCTGCCATTTTGTTTGCAATTTTTCTTTCATTTCTTATTTAATGGAAATACCACAATTGCAAAAATTTGCATTTTTTTAAATTAGCAGAACATCAACAAAGTTTTCAGCAAATTTTTAATAGAAACGTAACTACAGTTAATGTTTATGCCAAAAGAAGTGTTCCATTTCGGTGGACAAGCTTATTGTGTATCTGGAGTAAATAATAGTAATATAAAGAAGCAAATATTGTCACTCAAGGTAATTATCAAAATTACCTACTGACAGGATTTGCCTCTGTTTAAGGTTGATTTCAGAATTGGTTCTCCTTAGCCTGGATTTATTATTAACTATTATAAATTCAACTATTCATTTAATAGCAGGTGAAGATTCTCAGTCATCCAGGTCATAGTAATTCCAAAAAAGTAAAAAAAAAAAAAAATGATCCACCGGACTTTGTTTCCAAGTTTGAAGACGTTTAGCTTCCCCTCAAGGAAGCTTTTTCAATTCGAAATGTCAGAATTAGTATTGACTTTGTGGCTTTATAGAGTGGACAAAAACAAAGCCTGGTTCTGGCTTAGAAAACATGCAAACTGAACTGGATGAACGGGTCCGCCCCTTAGGAATGGGGGTCCTATGGGTTCTTTGTTAGTCTACAATACCCGATATTGGGCTATGCCTCTGAGAGAGGGGTCGCTAGGGGGAATTGTTGGCCTAGCTGCACAGGCGAGATGTTCTGGACCCCTGTATAGGGGTGGGGGTTTCAGTGATAGCGGGAAGGATTTAACACTATCGCTGCATTGTAGGTCTTTTATTTTTATTACTGTTTTTAAAATAACATAATTTGCACATATATTTACATTTTGGTCTGTCTTAAATATATAATGCTAAGTTGTACGTCAGATGTGATAAGTTAGTCAGTACTAAGTAGCATTTTTTTACCAAACACTTTTTTCACTGTTACTTGAGTAAAAAATATGATGTATTGGTGCTACCATTACTGAAGAACTATTTTGGGTACTCTACCCCCCTCTAAGGATGAACAAATCAAATGAATATTTCTGGTGAAAACATGTATGCAGTACTACTGCTAGTTCCTTTGTTGATTAGATGATGAAACATTTTTATACCAAATTAGTTCATGTCCTTATTCTCGTCTGGTGCCAGATCCAGTTTGTAATGTTTAGTCTAAGAGGACTATTGTGGTGGGAATTGCAGTGGAGCCAGATCCTTACATTTTGGCAAGTGTTTTACCTACTTTCTACTTTATATTTTTATTAGTTAAACTTCACTCTAATAAAATAAATTCTTAGAGAATTCTTAAAGAAGGTGACTCACTGTAAAGACGGATTTATACTCTGAAACCAGGTCGTCTGCTTGAGTGTCGCAGTGAACGCAAATGTGCCCCTTCCGCAGACACTCTGGTGCACCTCTTCATAATTGTAGGTGACCTCAGACAGTACCGCAGACAGGAGGCATCTGATTGGTTAAATCTACATCTGCTCCACACTTAGCATATTTCCTGTTTGGTATGTTACCGGCTTGTTTTGTTTGTATGACAACGATTGTGGAAAACGACTCATGAAGTTGGATTAGCTAGAAGAGCGAGGTGTGTGAGAACTCTGGGACCCTTTTTTCCACCTAGATCCCCGCTCATTTTCGCCCTCATGTCCCTCGGTTCTTGCACAAACTTCCACTTCCTCACCGCATCGGCCGTATCTAGATCCACATCTAATTCGTGATTGTTCCTCTTGCGTTGTGGTGTGGAATAACATAGCGCAGACCACCTCAATGTAGGGCATAAATCAAAAATATCTGCGACAAGCTCACTGTGAAACACTGCTGTGGGAGTATAAGCAGCCCTTAAATAGATTGAATCTTAAAATGTATGAATATTGATTTCATTAACACCCAGAATTTGTTTAAAACCAGCAGCACTTTGTTTTAAACAGGATTTAGTAATACCACCCGACAATTTTAAAACAGCAGACGGAGTTACAAATGCTGTTTAAGGTTTTGTACAACAGGTAATATAAATGTAATCAGCAGAATAATATCCAGTTATAACATTAGTTTTTAATATTGACAGGATTTGTTAGTAATGTTTTATTTTTAATTTCTGTCCTAAATTAGACAGATCAAAGGTGAAACTTGCTCTGGAGTTTTAAAGATGGTACTCATAACATGC